ATCAATCTTCTTAAATTCTACCTAGATATTAGGGAATTAAGGAGATTTTTTATCATTAAAGATTTTTTATTTCTAAACATTTTATCAAAAAATAATTATAAGATACATGAAAATGAAAGATTTGAAAAGAATGAAATAGAATTGATATTTTGTATTGTACGATTTTTATTTGTAGGTGGCATTACATGCATTATATTTGTTGGTAATAAATGTGAAATGATAGAATAAAATTTTATAAAGATTTTTAGAAAATTATTTTAAATAAAAACTAATATTCATAAGTAAAAAATAATTTTTGAAACCCTACATAGATATTGAAGGGTTTTTCAATAATTATTCTTTATATAGGAAATTATGTCAAATTTTGAGGATTAATATGAAAATTCCAAATAAAGAAATATTCTTCAAAATTTCACTTAAATATTAGGGACTTTAGAAAATATTTCAAAGCTAAAAATTTTCATCTTATCCCTAAATAAAAGGTTAAAAAAAGATTTGTACAAAAAATAAAATTGGAATGAATTATTTATAAATTTAGAATTAAGATCATTTTTATCGATATAAAGGATAACTTATAGTCAATTGGTACCATTTTTAAAATGGGTGTTGTATGGGTGTTAATCTTTCCCCACATATAATCATACTTTCAAACCTACCTTTGTTTTTGTAAACCAAAATTATTTTTTTGATAAATTTTAAACTCATTTTATTGTTTTATTAAAAAGATAAATTTTTTATGTGGCCAATCACATCTAGTCAAAAAAGATTAATAGTGACTTCCCTTTGTTTTGAAACTTTTAAAATTTTCATCTAACGATTCCAAACCATTAAGACATAGGTTATTCGGGCAATTCGGGTTCGAGTCATTTCAATTGGAGTATTTTGAATTAACACCTGAGTCATTTCGGGTTCAATTTGTTAATTTTTAGAATCAAATTAGATTAAATATAAATAGATTATTTGATGAAGCTCAAGTCAAATTTTATTATAATTTATTAAAAGATAAAAAGTAAAAAATAATATTTTTAAAATAAACATAAGATTTATAGTTTGTATGCTTTAAATTAAAATTAATTTTTATATAAAAAATGTGATTTTATTAGACTTAACAAATTTAAATATGGCACAATGATATGACACCAAAATGGCAAAGCAAAAATCGTATAAGATTTAGAATAAAGTGTTATGTGTTTAGTAATGTCGACAAAAATTTTAACACATATAAGATACAAAAAAGTATGTTTAATTAAACTTTGCCATATAAATACACATATAAGACATGTGGAACATAAAACTATGTTAAACTTTTAATTATAATACACAATTACATATATTTTATATAATCATATAAATATTATTTTAAATATTTAATTATGATACAATATAACTACACAAAATAAAAAATCATTTTACTTACTCATTATTTAATGGCTTATTGTTTTGGATATTAGTATAATTGTATCTCATTATGTAATTTATTCTAAATTACATAATTAAAAATTAATAATATAATTATAACATAAAAATAACTTAAATACAAAAATCAATAACTTATTTTATATACTTTATTCTAAATCACATGATTGATAGTTGACACCCATTTATAATTATAAGAGATTATATAACTTATTCTAAATAATACATTAATTTGTATACTCATGATAATTAAAAATATATAATTTGTTTTAAATCATATTATAAATTATAAAAAAATTTATAAGCAACATAACATACTTATAATTTGTATTGGTTTGGTATTAAAAATATATATATTGATTTGATATTTTCATTAATTTTAATAATTTTTCATTTGTGTTATATTTATTATTCTTATTAAATTAATGTTTTTTTGAATAAAATCATTTAATTTAATCTTGGATTATTTCAAGTTAACCTTTTATTGAATTGAATTAACTCTAATCTAATTTCGGTCCATTTTGCTTTCGGGTCATTTAGGGCTTGGGCTAATCCATGTTTAGGTTGATTTATTCGAGTTAAACTTTTATTGAATTGAATTAACTCTAATCTAATTTCGGTCCATTTTGCTTTCCAGTCATTTAGCATTTGAGCTAATTCATGTTCAGATTGATTTATATTTCGGTTGTTGACTTTTTATAGTCAAATCAGGTTGGGTCAGCTTCTGATTTAGGTACGTTACACAAATTTTTTCGAATTCAAATCAGAATTAATAAGTCTATTTTAAATAGTTAATAAGTTTTGAATATCGTTTTCCAAGTTTGATTATAGAAAATGTTTTTTTTTTTTATTTTAATTACAATTGTTATGGCACTATTAGTGCATATACTACTTATAAATCATAAATTATTTACAAAAATTTATAAATTATTTAAATATAAATTTTAATTTTGATTAATAAAATATATAAAATAATATAATATAATTATTAAATTCAGATTAAATTGTGTTTTTTTAAAGAGTAATTGTATCATTTTTAACTAAATAAATAAGTTAAGGTTTTAATCAAGTTTTAATAAAGACTAATCAAAATGAAATAAATTATGGATATTATATTTGGTAATAAAATTTGGATGCACGGGAATCTCAAAATTAACGAATACACTGTCCGCAGCCGTTCTTAGTGAATTTACCTTAACCGGGCTATGTGTATATCGTAGTCATCAGCACTTGTTTTCTCTCTGCATAAAATTAGCAATCATTTATTAAATTAATTATATTGATAACAAGAAATTTCGCATGAATAAATTTTGCAAAGTAGCTATTAAATTTAATCACGTAGCAGTTATGGAATCAAATCTCTATATCATGTTCATGAAAATAGAATGGCTTATGTCTCCATTTAATACACTGACATCACAACAACAACAAGTTATAGAATTAATGTGAAAATTAAGATTTTTCCTAAGTACTTGAGAAAAGGGCCAGTGCTTTGCAGTAAGTGATCCAATTTCTTTTTACTAAAATAGCCAAATATTTGGATTAATTTTTAATAATATTCCATACTTCATTAAAATTTATATAATAATATTGTGTTACCAATAATCGTGTGATTTACTTATAAAATATTAAATATTAAATTTTAATAATTAAAAATTAAATCTTAATAGTTTCTAATATTACAATATTGTAATATATATGAAAACATGAGTGAAAAATAAAATGATTATTCAAATAATATTTTTCCTTAAAATATACTATTTTCATATTGACTTATAATTCCCAAAATTTTAACTTTTGTATAAAGTTTAAAATATTTTAAGTTGACCTTTAAATTTTCTTTGCGAAATTGCAAATGATTTGAAAAAAAGTGAAGAAAGTTCGTGAAGGGCAATAAAAAAATATATAAAAATGATTATTCTTTGAATTGTCAAACAAGATATTATTATTTTTTATTTAGTAAAAGATTCTTGGGCTTTATTTTGAAATAAATAAAAGTATATGAAATGAACCATTATTTATAGGATATAATTACATAAAGAATAATGTTAAACAAATTAAATAAAATATGTTATAAACAAAAATATTTAATGAATTTTTTACATAATCAACCCTTCAAAATTTTTTGTTTTTTTAACTTTCCTTCTTTCATTTTTTTATTCTTGCTTACCCCTTCGAAATTTTCTCTCTTTTTTCATTTTTTTCTTTCACCACTGGCTTGGTATTCCACTGATCTGACAGCCTTAAGCCAGATTTGATGGCGGCTATTCATCTACTCTCTCCAAATCTCCTATTTTCTTGCCCTTCTTCTCTTTCCTTCCCTCTCTCGTCTTTCGGTATAATTGTCCATGGATGGAAAAGTCCATCTAATTTGCGAGTAGGGCTCGATTCAAGCTGGGTCACAGATAAAAATTTTCAAGTTTAAACCAGATTTAGCAGAGTTGATTAATTTATTATAAATAAAATTTTATATTAATTTTAATTTTAAAATATATTTAAAATATAATCTAAAAAATAATTTTTAAATATTTAAAATAGTAATAAATCTAAACAAACTTTTATAGAGAATTGAGCCTTTGACAAACCCCTACAGATGTCAATTGGAGTTACTTCAATTCAATTTGATCCATGACAATTATATTCTTTAGCCTAAACTCCGATGCTCTTTCTCTCTCTTATTCTGTTCCACAAAAATGTAAAACAAAATCAAAATTAGTAAAATAATGAAAGATTAAAATGTCTTATTTCAAAATTTGGAAAAAAGTGGTCACGTAATTATGAAAGATGTTGATTGCTCTTGTAAAATTTTGATCTCGCAAATTAAATTTTGTCAAAATTATCACAGAATCTCATCGTGACTTAACCATGATAATAAAATCTTAACTCTTCAAAAAAAAAAAAAAACTTTCATACAATGCCTTCTAATTTCAATATGTTATGAATTTAATCTCTTCTAATTTCAATGAATATAAATAGATCAACTCAGTAAGAGTTCTTGATTTTAATTAGTTCCGTCGGAAAAAGTGAAGAAGAATTCACTTTCTTAATTCCCCAATTTCGAGAAAACAACTTACTAATTACTACTGTTCTAACAAGTTTATATTAGAAACAAAAAACATCGTAAGACAAAATACACACCCTCTGTTGTGTAGCAAGCAAAAAGAATCCAAGCTTTTTGGGAGGGAATTATTGAAAAAACATTGAATCTGTGGTGTATTAGCTTAGCATAGCTACTATTAATAATTTTCTATTTGTAAGCAAACATTCACTACATTTATTTATAGCTTTTTGATACGATGCTGTAGTTTCTGAAACCAAACAAACAAGTATTTTCGTTTTCAGAAGACAAGACCAAGACAGGTACCTTTCCTAAAATAAAACATGCAATACTACTTTTCAGAACGCCAAACATGTACATATTGTAACACAACACATAAAACAAGGCAACTCTTCTTGTTTGTTCAAACAGATATAACAAAATTAATAACTTATAAGCTAGTTGATTAAGTAGCTAGATAGTGGACGTGAAACACAAACTAAGAGAGTGAGAAGAGAGGAGAGATACTGACTAATTTGGCGTTTGATCATGCATCAGGTGTAGTAGTAGTTGTGGCATTGTTGGTGGAAGAATGTTTTTTCTTGGCTAGATTGTGCTTGTTGTTGTGCATCCACACCTTGAGGACTCTTCTCTTCACTCCAATCTCTTGGCAGAACTGTTGCACCACAGCTTCTTCTTGCTTTTGGATTTTCCACCCAACTTTCTCTGCAAAGTTAAGCATTTTATCCTTCTGTTCCTGGGTAAACTTTGTCCTAAACCTTTTCTTCATTAACTGGGCTGGTCTGCCCACTATCCCACCACCGTCTACGGCCTGTTCATCAGACTCTGAAGGGAGGGAGCCCATGTTGTAGGACATTATCATCTGGTGGGGTGTTGGAGCTGCTCTTGAATGTATAAGAGTACCTGTAGGGTACCCTAGAGCCTCGGGAGGTAGGACACTCTTGTGGTGGCCTAAGATGACTTTCCTTCCAACCCTGCTCAGATGTGGACCATGCAATGGGTAATAGTCACATGAAGACGGCTCACCTTCAATTTCTTTTCTGTGGAAGTTTCTATGGCAGTTACAGGCTAAGCAATTCAGTGCTTCAATTGTACCCTCCTCACCACTGGGCATGAACTCACCACAGCCATCAGTGGCATTGCCTCCCATGGCTGCTGCATGGTTCTTCAGGCACTCTCTATACCTCACCACTTTCTTGTAGGGCACATGATCATCTAGGTTAGTTAGCAAGGAGGGTCCAGTGGAAGGGATTTGGGGTTCTGAGGAAGGTATGATATGGTTGTGGGGTGCAGGAGCATGATGGATCATGCGGCCGTGCCCATGCCGATGACCGTGTCCCCCACCATATGTACTGTTCAATGGAATTGGGATCTCCTCTTCTTGACTGGAAAGTTCCATTTCTATGTAGTATATTTTATTAGTGTGTTTGGACTTTTTGGAGACCAACAGGGGAAGTAGTAGACAAGGTTTGAGTGAGCGTTAGGATAGGAGGCCAAAATGATTATTAAAAAATTAAAAGAGACTGTGTGGCTTGTTGGACAGTAAGGGAGATATCTTTTGATGATCCGAAGGCAGAAAAGCAAAGAGTGATCAATTCAACCTCCTAGACTTTGAACATCCATATTATTATTATTATTATTAATGTTATTATTTTCCTCAGAGGACAACTGGGAAGGAAGAAAAACAAAAGAAAACAAAGAAGGAAATTCAGTATCACTGTAGACAGGTGGTGGCAATGAGAGCAGACCAATATGAGCAAGTGAACTAGTTCATTTCGAAACAAAGCAAGTCAAAAGAAAATGATGGTTGAAGGAAGATATACTGTAGCAAAGATCAAGGAATGAGAGAACAATGGAAATCTAGAGAACAAAAAAAAGGAGAGAATAGAGGGTTTTGAACTTTAAAAATATATAAAAAAAGGGGGAAAAATATAGAAGAAGGGGGTGAAGGGAGAAAGAGGGGAAGAAAAGAGAGAGTTATGGGGGTGGGTTTTGGCAGTGAAACACCATAAAGAAGTGCTTATAGAAGTAGAGAGGGCCAAAAAGAAGAAAGAGAGAGAGAGATAAAGAAAAGCAGATTTTTACAGACAAAGAGGAATACAGTAAGTTTAAGGGAGGTGGGGTGCTTGCTTTGCTTGCACTATCAGCCATCAGGTTTACGCCATTTAGAGAGCAGTGTGTCAGAGTGTGCAGACGAGAGAGAGAGAAAGAGAGAGAGATTGTTAGACCCTTCTATACCAATAAATATATATATATATATATATATTGTATGAATATAAAATAAATGTTTGGTCAAAATCAAAAGAAATAAATTATAAGTAAATCTAAACCTATGCTTTCATTTTCTTTAATTTTTCATAATTTTAGCTAAACAATATATCATTCTCAAGTTTACAATACTTATTCTCTAGTATTTCCTGTATTTATTTTTTATTTTATATACCTTTTTTTTTTGCAAAATTAGGGTTTAAAATTACCTTTTGTTAATTAATTAAATAAAGAAAAAAAAAAGACTGAAGTTACTGATATAGATCTATATTGACTTAGATTGTGGAGTTGGGAGGTGCCATGCTTATCATGTGAATAATTTATTATCAAGATTCCCATTTTGTTTTTTTTTTCTTTTTCCAATAAGAAAAAACATGTATGTAAGAAAAATATATCGGCCATATCAAGTTGTATGTGGCCTCCCATTTCGTCTCTTTTTTCTTATTTCCATCCATCTGTTTACCGATGGATGAGTTGATTGAAATAAGAGCAATATAGCCTCCAAAGGACAAAGCAATCTTTCCCGTTGGAACAAATATCTTCCTAAACCTCTCTACTTGTCTCATCTTCCAAAATTATTAAGACATTTATAAAATGAGAGAAAACGGCTTTTCTTTTTTCTTTTATGTATTTCAACATTAACATTGGAGGTATATATCTATATTATGTACACTATTAGGAATGCTTCTAATCAAGTTTTGTGATGGTCTCTAGTGACATTAACTCGTTGGGACAATTAAATAAAAAGTTAAAAGTTATTATACAAATATAAAATTAAAAATGTAGTTGAATTTCCATCACTTTAAAAAAAAATAATTACTCACCTTCTTTTAAGTATTATTTTCCTTCAAATCGTAATTTTTTTGAATGACTTTATTTTTCCATACTTAGGTGCGCCAAACTTTTAGTTTATATATATTTAAATTTATATTAGGGTAAAACTTTTTGATTTTATATCTTTTTCTAATCATTGATTTAAATAGACTCAATCAATGAGATTAAACCTTTTTTTCTTTTTTTGATTTGTATCTCTCATCTTTTAAATCTATTGAAATCAATAATTAAAAAAATGTATAAAACTTTTTTCGTGTGACTTAATCCCTCCCCATATATATATATATATATATACATACATACGTACATATATATATGAACAAGAGAGGATGGATCAACTTACACAATATAATTTCTTTTAGTTTTTTATATTTTTTTAACCATTAACTTTAATAAATCTAATTGATGAAATTAAACTATTTTTTATTATTTTTACTTGTCTCTTTCATCCCTTAAATCTATTAAAATCAATTATTAAAAAATATATAAAAGTAAAAAGAAAAAGTTACACTGTATAAGTGTAAAGTTAGAAATTTTTTACTTTTGGATCAAAATAACTAGTACAAATGTTATAAACTTAATTTTGATTCAAATGTTAAAAAAATATATAACATTTATAATAATGTAAAAATATTTTTACTATATATATATATATATATATTACACTTCTTATCTATTTACTTTTGGCTAGACATGAAAGAAAAAAAACATTTTGTTTTTAGTATTGAAATATATTTTGGCATGCTTAAAATCTGTTGGAGGTACGTACTTTTCCTATATGTTGTTTAAAATTTATGTATTTTTAGGTTAAAGTTATATGCATAAATAGGATAAATAGAGGTAAAATTTATTTCACTAATTTTTTTACTATGACCTGCATGCAACATGCATTGTTTTGAAAGGTAAAGGTTTAAACTCTGCGAGGATTTGGTATTGCTAATATCATATAAATACTTTTCTTTTATTACTAGATAATATTAAAATATTATTTATATGAAATAATTGGCGTTTAAAATTGTTGTCTTGGTTTATTTTTTTCCATCACTATATTGACATTATGTATTATTGTTGACTTTTGAAATTTTTATTTTTTGTACATGATACATAAGAATAAAATATTAAATGTAAATATCAAATTATTCATAAAAATTCAAAATACTTGGTTTGAACGCAATAAATTACTTGTTGATCCAGTGAGACACATTTGGTTTAAGTATCTCACAAGGAGAGATATATCTATAATGGTCCATCGAGAAACACATTAATTATAGGTGTCTCACGAAAGAACAATCAACTCTTTAATGACCCAAAAAGATACATCATAATTAAGTGTCACGTGAGGGTAGTCAAAATCCTTATGTATGCAAACTAAATTTTTTAAATTTCTCGTTATGAGGTACACAATTAGTTAATGTAAGTGTTTGGTTGCTAAAGTGACTTACTCATTGAAACTTGCATGGTTTTCTCATACGTAATAAGAACATGAGTATTTTCAAGTTACCTTTACCAATTATCTATACAAAAAGGGTTATTGTGTTTGGTAATTTAGAGTAGATATGAAATATCATGGTTAAGGGTATATAGGTCTAAAAGGTCTATCTACCCAAAGGTGATAGGTATTTATAAAACTAGTGTAACTCTTACATTTTTTTTTTTTTTGAATGCTTGGATCAAAAGTAAATTCATAATTTATTAGAATAAAAATAATATTTTTAAATTTAGTAATTTCGATTCAACAATCCAAAAAAGTATAAGAGTTACATTAGTGTTGGTAGATCTCTTCTTTTTTAAAAGGGTGATCTAGTTATACTAGTATAACTCTTACACTTTTTTTAAAACTTTAGATCAAAATTAAATTAATGACTCATTTGAATTAAAATAATATTTTTAAATTATTAATAATCAAGGGAATACAACTAGAACAAGGCTAGCACTAACAGCATGAACATAGTTCTGTAGAGAATACATAACATATATATGTATGTTTATATATATGTATGTGTATGTGTAAGTAAATCCCAACTCATATATATGTATCCATATTATCAATTTTACTCATTTTAGTCACACCAAGACCTACAACATGTAATCTTCTCCTTTTTTTTTTAACTTTTTCTTTTTGTTTCTTTCCATTTTCTTGTTATATCCTTTACGTTTTCTTTAGATAATATATTTTTATTTTTAAATTTCAGGATGGGTTCAATTGATATTATTGATTAATTATATTATTGATTAATTTTTTTATTTTTTGATCTTTTATTATTTTATTTTTGTTTTTATTTTTTTAATTAGATGATTTTGTAAGACAAAAAATAGCAATGGATGTGTCTACGTGACACTTAAATTTAGCTTTTTTCTTGCCTTTCCTTTCTATAGTTTTATTTTTGTTTTTTTATTTTTTTTAAATCTATGCATTAAATTTTGTAAAAGAATAAGACTAATGGGGGTGTCTATGTCACACTTTTAGTAGGCTTCCTTTTCTTTTCTTTTACTTTTTTGCCATTCTTTTTTTTTAATTTTTATTTTTTTAATTAGAAAAATTTTGTAAGAAATGGATCAATGGAGGTTGGATGATAAAATCTATGCATTAAATTTTGTAAAAAAAATAAGATCAATGGAGGTGTCGATGTCGCACTTTTATTTGGCTTCTTTTTCTTTTCTTTTACTTTTTTGCCATTCCTTTTTTCTTTTTTTTACTTTTCTAGTTTTTTAATTAGAAAAATTTTGTAAGAAATAGGTCAATGGATGTTGAATGATAAAATAATCTATTTTCGATGAGTTTTGACTTGCTTCGATCTCAATAAGAGTGATTTTTTTTAATTGAGATTAGCTAAAGGCGAGGTGATTTTTTCTATTTGAAAATTGTGGTAAGATTGAAAATGAGTTTATGGTGCTCTAACTCAGGATATATAAAAATATATTTTTTATTATTTATTTTATTTTATATTTATATATGTATTATATTAATAAATTTATTTTTTAATACATTGATTTAATAAAATACTACATATATATAATCATGCTGTTATTTATATTAAAAAAATTATAATTTTTATAAACATTGTACTAAATGAAAATTATTGAATTAATTTCGAGTTAAATCGAATAAGATGCATGTTACTCATATATATATGTCGAACTGGACTTAGGTATAAAAAACTAATATCGAGTCAGAGTCAGAGTTGGATAGAATTATTAAAGAATTAAGTCAATCTGATATGAGCTTAAAACACTCCTCGACTCGACTCATTTTCATCTTTAATTGAAAGTATTCATGTAACATCTCCATTTGGTTTTATTTTATTTTTTTATTCTTCCATTTATGTTTCTAGTTTTTGTCTTTTCCATCTTTTTAATTAGTAAATTTTATATGAAAATGAGTTATTAGAGGTAAGAATGACAAAACAATTAGTATTCAACAAGTTCTGACCTGCCCCTCTCGAATAGAAGCATTTTTTTTTTCAAAATCGAGATCAGGTCAAGGTTGGAATGATTTTCCTTTTTTTAAAAAAAAATTGAGATTGGATTGG